TCCAAAAATAGAATTATTGTCCCATATCATGGGGACAACCCCAATACTAGAAATGGCGCGCGCTTACGGTCTCCGTCCCCGATTATGGCTCCTGATGCTATATGGTAACGGTCTTTTTCACGGTAAGCCTTTCTCATTTGCATTGTAACGTAATCCAACGTGGATGCGAGGCAATTTCGGGCTGAAACTACAAAATAGCGCGAAATTGCTTCACTTACATGCTGGATTAAATTGTAATACAGATGAGAAAACAAGTTAACAGTGAAAAGCTAACGGCCTCTGTTTCAAAAAGAGTCTTCGTGCAAAACCATTTATATGAAAATGTGTTCCGCCTACAGGTTCATTTTCAGGCAAATCAAACTCATTTTCGTAAGAAAGATTTTGCATGCACGACGACTCGTTTTGAAACAAAGGCACAAGGTAACTCGGAAATAACCTATTGTGGTATTTAAACCCCCATTAGTATCGAGTCTAAGAACTGAAACAGGTTCTTATTAGATAAACCAAGTCGCAGTTTGCTGAACATAAAAAAGGTGAACTAAATCAAGGGGCCTAGAGCTGGGTTTGTACTGTATGTCTCTCTTTTGGATCCTAACTATGTGTTTCTCATAAATGAGGAAGGACCACCCTCATTTCAAAATCTTATAATCTAAATCTTAACCGTGCGAGAAACTCCCCAGGTGGAATTTATGGGCACAGGGACAGGGTCAGCAGTTACTTAGTAGCACATATAGTGGTGACTTCTACATCTGCGGTCATTTATGTCTAGTCTGGGGCCCGTATAAAGGAGGCTTTTAAGCATTCTCAATATACGGGGGTAGATGGTTCCACTTTAGGATGGAAGGTGGGGAGAAACATGAACTATAAAAGTTCTTGAGTGTCTGGACGTTGTTAGTGTGGTACTGCCCTGTAAATTGTCAGGTGACCGTATTGGGCATGCAGTAAGTACCTTATCCACTTAATGATATTTGAATCCATCTGAGAGCTTAAATAGCGAAAATTCTCACTTAAATAAAGAACCTTGTAATCTAGCAGTTCTTTTTTTTTTTATGAGTGGGTGTTAACTGTACTCCAAGTCACTTTGTAACAGAATAAAAACCGGAGAATAACGCCCATCTGGTTAGCCATGTTAGCTTGTGGGGACTGTAAGAGTCCCTTGCAGTGAATCTCGACCCGTATGTCCGCATTTCATAGTTTTATCTGAGAACGAAAAACTATTTACAAATTTAAAGTAGCTTCAGCATTTGTTTATTTTACATATCAAAGTTGACAAAAAAAATATGATAAGCATCCCACCCCGCCAACAGCAGTTTAGAGGCCGGTGTAATATGTTCATTTTGCAAAGCATGATTTTCCCACACTTTATGAATAATGCGACTGAATATAGTTGATTTGCTCCAAGGGGTTCAATCCCATCACCCCACGCGCACCCACCAAAATTATTTAATTACAGCTAAGAATTTATGACCAATAAAAGGGAAATATTTACATGATTAGAAAATTAAGGCGGCGTTTGTGTATTTAATTAAGTTTTACAATGGAGCGCTCTTTTTAGAACTATGTTATCATTAAAAAAAGAACCTAAAAAGTGATCCGATTTTCCCACAACCAAGGTAACACCAAAGGCAATTATTCCAGCAACTGAATTAAAGATGTAAGAACAGCATGAGGATTTGAAACGTGCGACATTGAATTTCTGTACCTGTACCTGTTTTCTGTTCATTTGGACTGGAAAGAGTCTTTTTTCGACTTAGACTTCATTTATGATTCACCGACTAAGCTTTCGTAGAATTCGAGGTAAGTAGGATAATGCAATGGAGTTCATTGAACCACCCCACCTTTTGCCCATTGCTCTTCTTTTCAAAAACTAATTTATAAAGCTTAAGATGTTGCACGTTTCAAATACCATCATGAGTTTGTGGAGATTTCCAGCCATGCTATTTTTATATCAGTACAGCAATGGATAACATTGAAAATGCTAAACTTTTAGCTGATCCTGGAGGAAAATATCAACCGATGAAGCACTTAGTTCTCATAATAAGGCCTGGCTCCCACTAGCGACATAACGAGCATAATGACTTTACGACATATTCGCTTATGTGAATGTGAACATGTGACAATGTGAACATCGACATAAGGACAAAAGGAAAAGATCTTCCTTATGTCGTTATGTTTATGCTGTTATGTTGCTATTATGTCATTACGCCAGGATGTTTACACTGCAAACATAACATCCTTCTTATATCACTATGCATGTTATGTCACTATGTCGTTATGTTGCTAGTGTAAACTAGGCTTAAGACTTAGATTATTTAGAATATGAATTTCAAATGCTATAAAACAGCATATTTGCATAACGCGATAATCTGCCATATACAGCCATACCTTAACAGAGCAATCTGCAAAACTGCAACCATTTATATATTGAATACACTTCTAGATTAGTTCCACAACCCCAGTAGACAAATGTTGTGCAAAATCCTTATTTACTTATCCATTTTTAGAATTTAACTGTTATTTTATTGTCTTTTAGTTAATTCGCCGATGAAATCAACTTACCAATGTGGGAATAAATCTTTTCCTATCCCAGTCGCTACCAAGGTTCCACAGATAAAAAAATTTCTTTAGCAACAAAACTAGCTCTCTTTTGCTTATATATTCTTATTTCTTGCATTGCCTTTCATAAGCTGACTGAATTTATATTTAATTTGGTAACACGAACACATTTGCTTATAATCCAAAATAAAGATTAAATAAAACAACGCGTGGAAAATGCTATGATTAAGAAACAGTTAGTAGGTTAAGACAGACAGTATAAGAAACATTTCAGTTAGAGGGTTTTCCGCCAGTGTGGAGAGAAGCTTTGTGTTTACCAAAGCTTTGTGTTTGCTGCGCTTTCTCATGACAATTGATCTTAAAAAACGTCAACTTTGGGCGTTAACCAATCAGACAAAACATACCATTTCTGTGATCAACACGGAGAGACTCTTAAACCAGTCGCTGTTTTCCCGCGCTAGCCACTTGTCGCATGCTTTGTCTGATTGGTTGATTAAATTATTTACGTTTCTTCTGATTGACCAGACGATTTGTCCGTCTGAAAACATTCTTGGTGGACAGTTGCCAATAAAGTAAGCATAGGACTCAAACGAATACCCAACGGTAACTCGTGGACTGACCACAAATGCGTTTACAGCGTAAAAAAGCATTTGAAGCTGCCACAGGGCATTTCAAACTTACCAAAGAAAGGTAAGTTGGTAAAAATTTATTTTCCACGTTTCATTTTCAGTACATTGCCGCTGACGACCATATCATTTGAGTAATCATGTGTGGTTCTAAACCAATTATTGAAAAACTTGAGTAAATTCTTTCTCATTCAGGGATTATTAAATTTGAAAGTTTATTAGCACTTGATCAGTGCTTTTCGGTGTAATTTTCTCCCAGAAAATTTAACATATTACATGAAAATTAAATTAAGCAACTAGTATTACTGGATCACTCGTTCTTAAACATATCACTCAGCAGTCTCTCTATAGGAACAGTTCCAATCGTTTTCTTGAAGAACAGGTCCTCGATCTCCTTGGCACTGATTCGTCTCAAGGCTGGTAGGAGAAGCAGAAGGCGGCCAAACCGAGCCAGTTGAGCGGGACACTGGGCACGAACATATTCACCAAGCATGAGCTGAGCCTGGTCCTGAGTGGACTCGACTTGTTCTGGATCCTTGAGCCCGCAAGCAGCTGAAAATCAAACAGTTATCGATTTAAACTAGCTGGCTAGACAGCAGCCCGCTTCCTAGGAATCATTTTAGATTTGTATAAAATAAAATAAGATAAATAAATCACATTATTTTTATTATTGCCTATAAACAAGAGTGGTGGACTGAGGGGTTGACGTCGGGACTACCGAGCACAAATCCATCCAGCGGCAGGGAGGAGGATTTGAACTCGGGACCTGCAACGTCCTGACCACCAGGCCGCCTCCCTGAGGCGTGAAGCATGAGTTAAAGTATCAGGAATGCGACTGACATCAGAATCCGAGCCCGTTGACAAATTAAGCCCGAGATTGATGAGAAGACAATTCCTCCCAGATACTGAAAGATTAAGGCAAAGCACTAGCATAGCTTAAGGGAGGCGCGGTGGCCTCATGGTTAGTGCGCTCGTCTCCGGATCGAGCGGTCCGGGTTCGAGCCCTGGCCGGGGACATTGTGTTGTGTTCCTGGGCAAGTCACTTTACTCTCACAGTGCCTCTCTCCATCCAGGTGTATAAATAGGTACCGGCGAACTTAATGCTGGGGGTAACACTGCGATGAACTAGCATCCCATCCAGGGGGGAGTAGAAATACTCCTAGTGGCTTCATGCTACAGAAACCGGGATAAGCTCCGGCCTGATGGGCCACTGGGCTCGTATGCAGACTTTACCTTTACTAGCATAGTCTAAGTATTTACCAAAAGTTGGATCCTATAAGAGGAGAACAGTTCAGTTCAGTTGTCTAAAAAACGATAGAATAGCGAGTGACTATTTATTCTGAAAGTTCCTATGATCATTTATCAGAATTTTGAAGGATAAATTTCAAAACAGTTATCGGAAAAAAGAACTTGCTACTTACTTGGCTTGAACAGCACAATGGCCTTCAGACATGCGTACTCTGTCGAGTCAACATTAGCGGCTTTAAATTTGTTGACCGTTTCTTGAAGCAGACGCACTGTTGCCATGACGTCAACGATTGTCTCGGGTGGTGTGGTGTCCACGTGCAATCCTGCCGCTGACAAAATTGGCGCGATTTCCAGGGGCATGGACCACTGACTCGCGCCTAACAGAAACAGCTCCCGCCAGCCCTCCTCGAGCAGAATAACCTGGTGGAAAAAACATGATTTTATTGGAATTTAATGGGTATCATTTGTAACAATATATATCTAAAAAAGTGGGAAAAAAGAAAAGAAAAGAGAATCATTCTCAAAAGGGAAAGCACGAAGGGACGAGAGTACCCATGCAAGGCGCTCTCAGAATGTTAGATATAATGTATAATAAGATGAGCTATTTACAAGGCATACAAAAAACAATAACAAAAATAAAAAGAGCTTTTTACAAGAATATTAAAGCTATAACAAAAATATAAAATACTGACACTAAACAGAAAGAATAAGAAAAAAAGGAAAATTAGTTTCTGTGACAGAAACAGTCCCTAACTGATGACCAGGTACAGGGATAGTCTATACTCTAAGTTTCAATGAATGTCTTTCGTTTGTGTGTTGCACCTCTTCTCGCAAAAGCATGATTTACTCGTCAACGAGGAATAAACAGTTCGCGATAAGTAAACTGCTTTAGCGGCTTCACACTAGAAAAGCGACCTGCGCTTATCTCTCCTGACCCCACACACACACAATCAAACAAATTCACCGAGCTTTTAAACCAAAAGAGTGTCAATCTTGGGCAAGACCACTATAAATTTACAATATTCAGAGAAGACGCTTCGTCAGCCTTAGCTGGTTTTCATGCTGGTCCTAGATCTATCCTGGTCGAACTGGAATTTGAAGATGTTGGTTTTTGTGGGAGGAAGAAAACCGGAGAACCTGAGAAAAACCCTCGGAGCAGGGCGAGAACCATTAACAAAGTCAACCCACGCTTGACACCGGGCCGGGATCAAATTCGGGCCACATCAGTGGGAGGCGAGCGCTCTCACCACTGCACCATCCGTGCTCCCCAAATCCCCTATCCTTATTCTATCATCTTTTCGTTTCTTAATTTTCTTTACAGGAAATATTGGTCGACGAAAAAACAAAACAAAAATTCCTCTTGTAGTAAGAAATCACGACAATAAGCCCACGAAAACAGTGTTTGAAATATAAGATCGGTATTTTAAAGTATACAGCGCCTTTACCTGATCTCTGAAAGGCAAACTCATAAACGAAGGAATATTCCTGGCCCACTTGACAGACATGAACAGCAGCTTGGCAGCCGCTTCGCACACAGCCTCCGGATTGGAATAATACATAGACACTGAAATATCAGACTGAAATCTGATTGGCTTAAATTCCAAGCCCAAGTCAAAATCATTGGCTGGCATCTGGCAGCCTTCCATGCAGGTCTCCGCTGCTAGCAAGGTGTTGATGAAACCGCTTGCGCTGTGCTGCACGTGCGCTGCAGTGGTAACAATCTCCATTCTGTCTTGGGCTTCTTTGAGCATCTTTTGCTTGCGTAAAGTGGAGCTTCTAGGCCCACGTTCGTGTTGGACAGCTGCAGAAATTTAATAGACTTGTTAACTCCAAGCGTCAGATCCTGTATGTAAGAACTTGTTCGTCCCCGAGACAATACCTCCCATCTCAAATACATTTTTTCCGATTGGAGGAGAACGTGTCACGTGTCGTGGGTCAAAACTCACTATCTCCCTCGGGCGAACAAAACTGGAAACGACAGCTTGAACTTTCGACTCGCACGTGATCAGGTCGTGTACAAATTTGTCCGCCAGCCGGCGTCAAGCAAACAATTTTTTCGCAGTTTTCACTATTTTTGAGCTGGGAGGTATAACAAAACACTTAATGATTGGTCCGACGGAAATAAGGGTATTTTTTTTCCCCTCCACCCTCAATGTTGAACATTGAGGATCTTGCAGAAACATAATTGGCCCTTGGAGCCAGTCATTAAGGGTTTATTCTTCGCAGAGGTACTTAGAACGAAACTTATAACTTTTCGGGTTTCATTTTTTAAGTTGATTCTGTCAAATGAACCTGTCAGAAAGTGATAGAAAACCTGTCTATTCTCAAGTTCCTCATAAATGCAAAATTACTCACTTTCCCACAGAGACGTCAAGTGACAGATGGCAAACGCGAGAAATTTGCAATTCCGCGTGGGCAGGAGAGGATAAAAAAGAAAATAATTCGTTTGAGTCTTTGATGATTTGCAAACTTCACTAAAAAACATTGCCGCCTGCCACAAACATTAAACACGATACGAAAACTTTAATCTTTGCTGTCATCTTTGTAAATGTGATCATCCTTTTACAATTTGAAGAGAACCAATTTGAACTTAGTTGACAAATATTAAGTTATCAATCAGCCACGCGTTTTAAAAGTTTATGTAGTAAAATTTTAAGCCGCATGTCCACCAACACTAAATACCTTGATTTAAAGGACAGTCTTACTTCGTCTTTAATTTCAAAGAGAAGGGAGGGATTAACCGTTATGTTTAGAGTGTGCTATAACACCGTTTAACAATGATATGGACTTAATATAAATGAATTACTGAGCAATTTGGAGTATCTGTCGCATGACGTTTTATACATAATGAAATTGGCTTCTTTTCAGCTATTCTTATTGTTCAAGTCATCATGTCTAAAAATCTAGTTCCATAACGTCTTTTCATATTACAAAATGGCAAAAAATCTTAGGAAAATATGATCTAATTACTTTTCTTGGCTGGCTGGCTGGCTGGCTGGCTGGCTGTACTCAGTTGAGGCGTAATTCAATTCATTTTTCCCTGATTAAATTTCATGTTGTTTTTAATTCATCTGAAAAAGAAACGAGTCGTAAACCAATCCAAGTGGTTATGTCTCGGTTTCAACCGATAACAAAGTACTCGAATGATCAAAACAACGATGTAATTGCTTTAGAAATAATCGTGTTTTAAAATGAGGAAGCGTGCCTCTGACAAAACCATATGATCAAGGTCATTTTGGGATAAAACCGAAATTAAAAATACCCAAAGAAAAATCACAATGCCTTATTCAGATACAAATGAGTTTTACACGAGCCAAACCCCGCGTGTGTTCAGTCTATGTTATAAAACATTTTTTATCACACCTTTTAATCTTCCACGTGCCCAAGAAATTATCATTAAAAATTCATCTTCTGTCAATTAGGAAGGTCATATCACCACGATAAATCAAATCATAGCCTATAATCTGGAAGAATGATGGAAAAATGCAAGAAAATTACGCTCAATTAAGTACAGATTTTTTTTAATTCCAAAACTGATATTAATAAAATTATACCCGATAAAAGCGTGTTCCCGTAAACTTTCAAAACTTATGTCACCAATTATTATAATTGGAATCATAGTAAGTTCAGTGTAATAAAATGAAATATTTTTCTTTGCCATACAACTGCGTTCCGAAATTAAAATATGAACTTAAATTAAACAAAAATTATTTGGGATGTTTTGGGAATCCTCTCTTTTTGGTGAAACTGTTTAGCCGGCGGTTCTGAGTTAAATAGAAAGCAGGGATGTTTGTGTTTCTGTGGTCTTGTGGCTTTCTAGCTCGGAGGGTTTTTGACAAAATGATATTTTACTTCACTAAATGATGCCCGCTCTGTTTTCAAGAACCTTCTATTCAAAGGTTGAGTGCAGGTGCTGTGCAAGTTGTTTTGCGTTGAAAGATAGTTTGATCTTCAGCTTGTGAGAACTCACTGCTGTGAGAAATATTCAAACAGTATGAAATATTAATGCGATGTTGACTCCCTGCTGGGAAATCTTCGAAAACTGTTACTTAAATTATCACCTCCGCAATGTGATAATCACGGGTTTGATACCAGTTTTCTGAAGGCAGATTTTTGATAATTGAACTTCAGAATGCATTTAAAGAGGTGTTAGTATCAAGAGGCTAAAACGGCCGAAGAATCTTGCTATCTACATTTCACGTGTATCGATTTAGACTACGAAAAATGTTTACATTCAGGAATGTATAGAATAAAAACTGCTGATGTGGCGCTATTTTGCCGCATGCTAGGGATTTTGAAGATGATCGAAACTGAATCTTTGATATATAGAATCGAATTTAACAGCAAAAATCAAGGGAAAAGTTGATAAAGCAGTCACATAAAAAGAACTTGAGTTTTTCCGCGCCAAACACTGACGAAATTAACAGAAAAAAAACAAATTCAAAATAAAATCTCAACTCAAGGGAAGTGCTAGCTGAAAGAAAACAATTCGGACTAGGAAACGCCCGTTTACATTGCTACTGGCACTTATCTCGCTGATAATTATTTGTGATAAATCTAGTTCATTGATCGCGCACCATTGATTTGAAGATAACTTGGCCGAAAATTTCCATTTGATTAAATATTTAGGAACGGTTGGCTTCCAAATGTGTTCCGTCTTGTGCAAGAGAGGGTGTCTGGTTTCAGTGAGTGTCTGGCGAAAAGTTTATGCCTTGACTAATTCATTAGTGTGTTTGTGGATATGGCCGGCAAATTCTCAAATCCTGGAAAAACTTTGCTGTCTAGCTTCGACTTTTACTAAGCGTGACAATTAAATTTGTTGCTTATTATTTAAGTAATAATAAAATTTGCTTGCTTCAAGTCGAACGTCGTTAGCACATCAGTGCTACAGACTGAAACTCCAGTTTCCTTTCAGCAACTAATAAATGCAGTTTCCTCGATTTATGCTTAACTATTACTTTCTAATACAAGCGTCGACCTTTATCGCTTAAATTCTGAACATTTATTAAATTCAGATTACTAAAAACTTTATCCAATCGGTTTAAAGCTATAACACAGGACACTTTGAACTAATTTTATTCGAAAACAGTATCATAACAATACTTTTATCGACAGGAAAATTTGTTATATCGAAAGCGGTTAGCCAAATTTTATAGGTATCTTCTCTGGTTCTTTCGTTTCATTGCTTCTTAACTTTTTGATCTGTTTTGTAAGCCACAAACCTAAACCTTCATCCATTAAGAGACGGCTCACTCAAGTTAAGTCGCCATGCGACCTTCTCTGGTGTCTATATTTGTTTTGTGTACTTCTGTGTATCTACATGTCGTGTTGTGAACTATCTCCCTTTTGAGCAAGGAATTTCTTCAGGCCGTCGCGGTGGGAGACTTCCCCATGAAACTTAGACACAGAAACAAAGAAAAACTCATTAAAAATTAAACTATAATATACTTCTGTAGCTGATGTATCATGATTTGCCGGGTAGTAGAAATTCACATGTCGTAAAAAATTGTTGCCGCAATAGTGATCCAGGGCGTCTTGCAAGGTACAAGTTCACTTCAGTGCAAAGAATTAAGTGTTTGCCATGAACGTGATTTAATTATAGGAGCTTGACTCTTGGAAAATCATTTACCTATCGAACCGTTGGGACGAAGCACGAATTAGGGCGGATAAAAAACTTCCATCGTGCTGAGTAATATCTTTTCTCATTAAGGGGTTTAAAAACAATCTTTTCCCGACGATTTTGTTTGGTTCGTTTCGTTTTTGAGGACGTGAAATACGAAAGAAAAACTTATCTCCTATGGAGTCAATATCTTTAAATAACAAAGTTTAGACGTTCGTGATGCGATAAATCTTTATTTTAGGGAGAGATTGTTTTCGGGTAATAAGTAAGCCAGTTGAAATCGTAAATCCGTTTTTATGGTTTACTTCACCGAAAACGTTTATTTATTATTATTGTTTTGTTTTTTTTCGATACTTATATTTGTTTGTTTCTTTTTTTTTTTAATTTTCATATTTGTAGCTCGGAGAGTATTTTACTATATGAGATAAGAAAGAAAACAAAGTAGGAAATAGTCACGAAAAATGTTACAATGTTACAACGTTTCTCCGGAATTAGAGGTTAAAAAAATTGAAAATAAGATGATAAAAGCACACGACAGACCCTGCATCCCGCTCTCTAAACAAGTCCAGTTAGTTCCTACACGAAATCTTTGCAATCGAACTTTAACTTAACGTAACGTTATTCAACAAAATGCAAAAGACCTTAACTGAACCTGATTACAGTGAGCAATGTGTTTTAATACGTCTTAATCAACAGCAAACAGATCTTAATGCTTAGTTTAACCAATTCTTATATTACTGACAAGCATTCATGCACTTTCTACAAAAATAATATTCATTGCACCTTCAGAATTGTTCTTATTTAACCTCGCTAAGCACAGAAATATATTCGACGTATAAATCCTTATATCAAACCACGTTCATGTTAAATTAAAATAAAATGAAATGTCCTTGGCCATGTAAATTTTGAAAACATTGCACTAATGGGTTTCTTTTTGGAGAGTCGCGCGACATTCTCAATTCCGTTTTTTTGTCTCTACGCGTTTTCGAATTAAACATGAATTTTCAGAATTGTACCAATATCTCACAATTTTGAATGATTGGAAATACCTTGAGTACTTAATCCACTCAAGGTGAACCATTTTAATACAGATGGATTTTAATTTTTTTTTTTTTTTTTTTTCTGATTGCATTTATAAAAGCAATAAAGAATCCGCCCAGAAGCTTTCGTTTCATCTTCGCGCTTTTGTTGCTGAAAAAAGTTCAGAAGTTGAAAGCCGAGTGATTTCCTGTGGCTTTCTGGCCTTAATTACACGTTCTTTTACGATTTTGCCAGCTAATGAACTTATTGAAACTCGTTGCTCTGAGCTTCCTGCGTGAAGGAAATTCTCCATACCTGGTTTTCAAAGAGTGTAAAGAAATTCAAATTTAATTTTATCCGGTGTCAAATTTTGGCAGCATTTTCAGCATCGAAGAAAAAGAGAGAATTAGAAGCGAATCCGGGAAGACAGAACTGGTATACATTTTTGAAATCATGAAAGGATTAACTCAAATCCCATTTGAACAAACGAACCGGCTGCACTTGAAAATTTAACTGATTATGTGTGAGAAATAAATGCAGTTTAATTCAGTCCCAAACATTTTATAATTAGACGCTGCTGTTAATTTCTTTCCAGTTTGTTTGTGAAAATATCTTAAACATGTTTGATTAAGGAACCTACCCGAGGCTTTCTCGAGATCCACTGAGGCATTTGAACACATTGAACTTTCGAAATGTAAAACCTTGAAAGAAACCTATTCCGATATAAAATGTCAATCTGCGACAGCGTCCACCTGATTGCCTACTCAAAAAATGAAGTTAAAACGCGATTTTATTGATAGTAAAAAGCTTTTCGACAGCTAAAAAGAAGACGATGTGATAGATATTAGTTTTTGAAAGAGACCCGACGTGAAAATGACTTTTAAATGACTTCTACTTCAGCACCACAACTGCGCGAAGGAGTTAAAAGTTTGCTTCGAAAATCAATCACTTGTTCTTTATGTTGAATACAGAAAAAGTCTTTTAACGTAATTTTGTTATAATGCTTCGTTTTGCCGTCCGCTCACAGACAAAGAAATCAACCATTACGAAGTAATGTTTTAGCGAAAATTGATTTTATCTGGAAGCAAGCGAGCACAAAAGAGAACCGCAGACAAACACTTTGGCTACTGAATCAGCCACTGAATTTTCTTTTCCGAATTTTTTTTTTTTTTTTAAAAATTAGATGAAACTGAGGAAAGGTTTACACAAACCTATCTATAAACTTCAGGTTTAACACCATTTTTCAGTTGAGTAAATGAATAAAATTACCATCTAATCTTTGAAAATCGAAGTGATTCGAGGTTGGTTACTTCAAGAAGGATTGTAAGATGGCTAAGACTTCCATTCTTTTCGCACACGAAAGTCAAACGGATTTTAAATAACGTGTCCTCGAAGAATCCGATTAACGATTAAACGGTCGACTTTGGTTGCTTTAGAGGGTGTTAATAAGAGAAATGTAAATATGCGAATTAAAGAACCTTGTTGATTTAGAAAATTCGCAGTTCTATAGAGTCGTGTTGACGTTATTAATAAACAAAGCTAACAGTTCATAATATCTCGAGAGGAAAGCTCAAAATCAATTCCATACGAAAAACTATTTGTTTTTCCAAGTCTTAAAATAATTCCCCCACCCAACACCCAAAGCAATTAAGCAGAAAGTATTGATCTGCCTACCATCTTTGTTCATTGTGACCTCGAAGCATTTTTTCAAGCGGCACGATCGACATTGGTTCCTATGGATTTTATCCACTGGACAGTTACCCTTGCCATTTGTTGCCCTGCAAGTATAGGAACGGTTTCTGCGAATGCTTCTCTTGAAAAAACCACTGCAGCCATCGCAGGCGTAGATTCCATAGTGTTTACCCGACGATCGATCGCCGCATACCTTGCAGGGAATATCCAGAAGGCGCCCTTTAAAGACAGAATTCAAAAATGAGTTCGGTGGAAGGTTAGGGGAGTAACTGAAAAACAGATATAGGACCCAAGGTCCCGAATCGACAACTTTTATCATTTAAAAGGAGCGGAAAAGATATCTATACCGTTTGGTTTCGATTTGTCGCATTTGTCAATGTCCATTTCGTCTAGATGAGGATCAGCGTTCATTGCGAAAGAATATACTGTGTTGTCCTTCGTGCACATCCGATTCGTTTGCCTAATAGACGACGTTTTAGAAGAATCGTGCACCTTTCTGCGAGAGGCCAGATTAATAGCAAATGTCAGTAAGCCTTAGTTATAACTCACCGGTGATTGGTCGAGAGAGGCCCATTACTGTTTCATTTTATATTTCTCGCGAAACAACAGATAGCTTGTTGATAGCATCTGATTCGTTGAGATACTTATAAGCATTGTTTAGTGGCGATTACTCAGATGTGCGAACAAATCAAGTCCACACAGAGGCACCACTTATTTTGCACAAACTACATAATTTCTTCTGTGCTGTAGACGCGATCTCCGAGGCATATTCTGTGCTTCTCGCCTTACGTTCGACGCCGGAATATAAGGACATGCCGTATACACTTAACTTTGAGGTGACTTTCAAAACACTGTTTGATACGTTGATAAAATATTTAGCAAACGAATACAATCTGAATTATTTAAAAATATATATTATACCCAGAAATATCAGGTTTTTTTAATCATTTAAAGGTATTAAATCAGAGATAACAACCAGACGGGCAGGAATTTCTTTTTTTTTCCCGCTAAGTTACTTTTTCGGGGCTGTGATGAACGACAAGTTGTTGACTCTTGGAAGACGCGGTGCTAAAAAGCAGGCCAGATCTGAAAGGAAACACACAGAAGAATGAGTCAATTTCAAAGGGCTATGACACTTAAGCTTCAACAAGCCAATCGAATTCGCAGCAAGGTTGTGAGTGACACGTGGGATTTGCAACAAAAGAAAATGGGTGGTGAGGCTGTCGATTAATGGGTTTTTTATTCTTTCTATTTTTCTTCATTCCACCCAGCTGTCAATAAAACAGGAATCGTTTGATATCACCTGTCTTTGTCTCCTCGGCCACCTGGCAGGGGAAATATAATGATCGTTTTGAAAAAGCTAGAATATCTCACAAGCTGCCATGGGTTTTAGCATCGCCGGTAAGCCCTCTCTATGCAGCCTGGGAATCCATTAAAAGTCCTCATAGACCCGGTTTAACTTTCGCTCCCATAGCGTCGATTGACCATAAAACTTAACTATTTTCCTTCCTTGTTGAAAGCGTTTTATCTGAAATTAAATCGTTTATAGTTTGCCTATTGTTCGGTCCACAGCAATTAGCAATGACAAATAATTCAGCGCGTGGTTCTTATTATCACTTAGCAGACGGCAAGCAAACCGAAAAAAAAGTTGTAAATTGATGCACAATCATTCGATGTAAATAATAGGGTTTAAACCGGATGTTATTGGTCCTGAAAAGTACTTTCGTGTTCCGCTTTTCAGCATTGATGTTTCTTCGCCAGCCGAGAAGCTGATAAATTGTTAGGCGTTCAAAGTAGTCTTTCAAATTGCGCCTCAGTGTTATTTACTTCGCGCTAAGTCAAGACATGAAACATAAAAGCTGGCGGGTGATAAGTGATTTATTTCATTAGCAGTGGATAGTAACTGAAGTGCCTTTAGTCAATAGCATTATTTTATATACATTTAATCTGACTTATCTTTGTAAATATTTACTACTGTAGAGCCATTAAAGAAAAGAGATACCAAATGTAAATATGACTAACTTGTGTCCAAAAACATTATAACACTGCCTCTTTGGACTCTTTGATATTTGATGAGAAATTGCCTTTGGCTTTTCGGTTCCACAATTGCTTTCTATCCTGCGGTCTTTTAAGATGATTAAAGCGTGGAAATTCTTTTTAATCTCTGACTATGGATTGCTGTAATGCGGGGAGAATAGAAAACAAATCAAACCTGTATAACATTTCTAGATGAATTGCTCTGCGGTGAAATCGTGCACGTGGAGACCAAATTTAACTCAGCGAGATTTTGTTCAGAATCAAACTAACTCAAGACTGAGATTTGAGATTGAGCAATGTCAAGAGCCGCAAAAGCCGTCGGCCATTCCGGAGAGGTTCGAGGTTTGATTAATGTTGGTTTTATAGCCAAATCAACCTCGGACTTTCAATCAAGTAAATGGGAAGAAATATTAGTGTTAAAGAAAGAACAAACCAACCTTAGGGCTGTAGACATCATGTCCCCTTAACTGAGTGTAGCTTTGGCATATAAAAACTCCCGTGAGAAATATATCTTGGATAGCGGTTAAGCGATGCTCTGACCCATGCTTTAGGGAAAGGCACTTGGCTGTGATTTTGTCTACATACAGCGTTACTGAAAAGGCTGGGTAATGTTCCTGTTTTCTTTTCGTCGCTAATACTTCCTAAATAGTAACAACAGGAACTTGATTTTAGAAAATTCTTTGAACAAGGGTTTTTTAAAAATTCTAGGTTAGATTCAAATCTTCCACAGGTTTTTCAGAGGGTCTTTAAAGAATTTTAGACAGGAACCCATTGTTACATGAAAAGAAATTCAAGAAATGAAAAAGACGTTTTCAAATTGATTTGAACGCTTTGACATCAAAAATAAATAAATAAAATAAAAAATAAGGCGATCTCTTTATTGCACACAGTTTAGCTCTGTCCCATAATGCCTTGGAGGAAGATAATTTCATATATAAACAACTTTAACATCACTTGGCACGTAATCGCTAAAAAGACGACAAACCTTCTGAGTTTCATGCAAAGCACAAATTTGGCAAATAATCACAAACTTATATTTGACTCCAAACAAGCCAGACGATAGGTAATAGTAAGTGCAGTGAACCAGTGAAAAAAATATAGCAGCTAATGTTTTGGCTACCTGCCTTGTCGCCCCGAAAAATGCCATAGCTATTTGGCATAAAAGCACAAAATATTTGTGTCTCCAAAAGTCAAAGATTAAAACCATCGGCGACAGAAGATATGTGAAAAGGTGAAAAAAAAGACTGCTGCTAATGTTTCGGGTCTTAGCCTCGTCGCTCCTGACAATCAATTCAATTGACAGCATTTTTTTATTCTAATTAAAAATCAAAATGACTAAAGAATTTTTAACTGAATATTCTGATAATGGCAAAGAGAAAGTCATTTGTCCCGGGTAATAAAAAATCCGCCTCCTCAAGGTTTGCCCGAGGGCCAGTTGACTAACACGTTTCTGAGGCAATTTTTGTGTTTTTGAATGTGAGCTTCCAAATCCTCGACGCAAACTTGACACAAGAACTTTTACAATACTTGGTATGTTACGGCTCTAGCAGAAGGAAAATATAGCCACGATTATGCCCTTTTAAGTGTTTTAAATGCCATATTTATGAACAGGCAAACAGGATATCGGAGGAAGTTGAGCTCTTTATTATTTCACATTTCATTTTTTTCGCCATTTATCCACGGCTAACTAAGGAAGCTCTAGTGCAATAACGTTGTGTAAACAAATAAAACACGTGTTGTTTGAAATACCGTGCAGGAATTGTGACGAAACAGAGCCGTTTACTTTAAAAACCGATTATCAGAGTTAAATCACTCTTTTAAATTGATGGCGCGGAATCAAACTGTTTATTCCCACGAAAGGATCGAGTTTCTGGCTCTGCAAATGACAAATGAAAGGTAACTGTTGTGGGAATGGTCGAGCACTTAACCGGGCACTTAATGCGGGCGTTTTGAAAAAGGACCGGTCATGATCTAATTTAAAATGCTATGTTAATATAAATTTTTGGCTTTCAATTTCAGGGCATCGTTCCGCCCTTTATGTATAGGGAGATGTGCTCAGTGAAATAAAGAAAGGGAAGTTCTCTATGAGGTTGACAAAACTCACCGTCAAAATCAATGAAAAAATTCGCATACAGCAATGATATGCGTTGCATTTCTATTGCAAGATAAATAACATGGACCTTATTGTTTTATGTTCCTTTCTACTTTTCTGTACCCTTTCGTTCGCAATTTTTTTACGATCTTTATGAATTATAAACTTGATCAGCTTTCCTTTAAGAAGAAAATATTAATACTGGAATCTGTTCAGCTGCGAGTAGCTTGAGAAGTATATAAAAATCTCTGCACAGCGACAAAATAGATTTATTGGACACGAATAAAGCAACAAAACTAAATCTTAAAATGATACGCTTTGTTCTAGCTTTCGTTATCTGAATACAAACTTCCTTTGGGAACTTGGGTTTGATTTTTCATGAAATGACTACAATTGAAATATACAAACGGAATTAACTTGGTTTACAAGCAGGAACAGCTAGACACGGACGCAAACACCTCGTCACGTCTATTTATAACATAAAGTTCGGACAATGTTTTCTCAATGCATCACAAAGTGCATGAACTTTACGTGTACATATGGGCTTTCCTAACCGAATTCCTGTTTATTACGCGATAATTCAAGTGGGACAAGAATTAATCTGCCATTTAGTAGCACTAAGTGGTCAAGTTGATGGAATCTAAGGGAAGTCAAAAGTGGGTCAGTTTTGTTCAGTCGTTGTAGGATCACACATCTCCAGCGAAGAATGAACGATGCTTATCAAAGCGTTCAGATTAAGTCTGTCCACTGACTCTAACCTAAGGTACGCTATCATTAACTTCTAGCACATTCACTGCGCTCGACCACATAAACCAGATTCTGTATCCCACACGCTCTGCGAAAGAAGTTACAACAGCATTTGTTTCTTAACTACTTAACTTAGCTGTGTTTTCAAAAAAATTCAAATGTTGTTGTTTATAGTGGTCAATGCGCTTAGCTAAACTTAGCTAGTTCACAGGCATGCCACTTTAAGTGAAGGAAACAAATATACCAACTAAACATAATAGGCTTAAAATCCCAACCGGCGGGAGGTAGACCAGTTGGCTATTTACAAGCATGACCGACGAGTTGAACTAGGGTCTACCGAGAAACAACTCCAGCTAAGTGGTCAGAGCGGGACTTGAACCCGCGACCTCCGGATTTCAAGTCCGGCGCCCTAACCACTCGGCCACGCTGCCGCCTTTTAAGGAATCAGATGCGCAAAAACGCAAACAAATGTGCCCAACATTACTTACCGTATATGCATTGAAGAAACCAAACGCACACTGAAACCAAATGATATTAGTATTAACCTACTAGCGTTCTATGTCGTTCTCTGATTGGCTACGCCATTCACTATCTATTTAACAAATAG